AGGATAATACCAAAATTTTAAAAATCTCACGTCATTCAACTGCACTTTCCAGAGGAAAACAACACTTAAAACTTTGAACGGACTTTACAAGATCTAATTAATAACAGTGCCTTCCACATAACCTTAAAATCATACAGCTCGAGCCAAAACACAAAATTCTCACACCTTAGCTTCCGGTATACACCAGACAGTTTAACTACAAAACTTAAATATCATGCACAAGTCCTTGACTTAGTTACTACAGCAACAAACATTATAGGATACGTAAGCCTAACAAATAGCCTTGAAACCGTTTACGCACCTTGAAGCAGATGAAAAGGTACATGACTAATCTTAATGCAATTCAATTAGGTCTAAAACCACTTCTATATGAAACACGTCAACATTTTGTAAAGGAAATTTTTAAATATACGTTATATTATAGATGCACTGCGCGGGATAAAGAACAGCGACTGCTTACGTTTCCACAAGGTCAACAGTGTCCCTTCAATAAACTGCGTGGGTTTGGTGACTTGTTGCTATACCCGTTCGATTAACTTTGTATGTGTCGAAAGATTTAAAAGATATTTCTAAGCACGTGGTTCAACAAATATAAGACAGTGGGAAAACAAGTATTTTCGTAAAGAGAATATGAAAATTACAAAATAACAGATAAATAAAAAAAAATGGTACAATGAAACTACAGGCGTTTTGATCACATAATGACACGTGTATTTGTATTATTTATGTTGTAAGTATAATTGGGTTAGAATAAGTTAATACCTTACACTTTTACGTTTTAACTTTTGATAATTTTACATATTTATTAAAGGTGGAAAGGGAACACGACCATATACTTATAAAAACTTAGGAAATCACAGATTTTCCATAAAATTAGGGTACTACTCTTATCAAACGCATATAATTAGTTATTAAATACTGGATTTCCATTAAAATTATATCAAATCAAAATACCACTACAGAAGAAAAAGAATGAAAAATGAGCACTCAAACAACTCATTCTCTCTCTGTGAGAAAACCGTTTTCTAGATGATTTAAAATTTTAAATAAGACACTAGCGGTGATGTTCCGTAATAATTTAAACCCTAGCCGAGAGAATGCTGGTAGAAATACACGACAACTTTGTATTGGTATCAACACAGAATACAGAAGTTTTAAATTAACCTTGCTTTCTAAAAGTATTGTTCGAATAAAGCTCAATTTAATTGCACAAGATTCCCCAGACTAGTGGCAGTAAACATAACACTTCCACGTGAAAACAAATAACGTACAATAATATCTTAACTAAATTATTTGTACTTACGTCAGTTGATTCTAAAATTAGCTGCCAAGTATTGCGAAACAGCTGGTTTTTAAGTTACGAAAAATAAAACAAGGAAAACGACGTTCTCCAGTATCCACATTCTCACTCTACTCCACTTTAGTACATTCCTAACGCTCACAGATAATATTGTGTAAACTTATGCCCAAAACAAATCTCCAGTAAAACTATAGCGGCCATTTTTAAGAGCTATAGTCAGATGACTCGAGAAACGCATAAAAAAGGCACAGCTAATTCGACGATTAAAAAATGAAGCTGTCGTCTATTTCCGTATTTATCCAATACATGAAAATTATCAAACCGCCCAAAATACAAGAAATAAAACTTTCCATCGTGTTTCTTATGGAACATTTACAAAGAAATATCAAAATTAAACTGGTTATGAACGAAGGGTATAAAACCCTAAACCTCCTTAGTAATCTAAATAAACGTATTATAAACACGGTTTTGATGACCAATCAATCACTTCAAACTTAATTTACTCATTCTCTTGTTGTGTAATGAAGAATTTATTAGTTGTAAAATTTTGACCACTACGAAATAATTACTACAGTTGTTAAATATAACTTTCAAGTAATACTTACAGATTCAAAATAATTATGCACTAGTTTATTTATTACTAGCTGGAGTACCCGTCTCCCCTGGATGGAAGTTATGTATATTCGTGATTAATGAAAGGTTGACATGAAACGTTGCTTCCCGTATATGTAACTTTAAGAAACGAAAAAATGCCCATAAAAACTACAAAATGTGAAACCGCAAATTTGCATGTATCTCCGCATAGACACAAGAAACCTTCATTCCAAATTTGGTGAAGATCCATCTACAGGGGGCCGAAGTAGTGGTTAAAAACGCCCATAAAAACAGCAAAACTGATAATCTGTATGTACCCCCCCCCCCCCCCCATGGACCTAATGAACCTCCATATCAATTTTGGTGAAGATCCATCCACAACCTGCGAAGTAGTTCCATGGACAGACAACAGAAAGTATTGTTATATAGATACACCACTACCGATTCAAATCATTTTAACGTACATTAGCAATTATAACAAGAAACACGTGTCCTCCATTGATTTGAGACAACGAATACTATTATAAACTATTTTTTGCATATTATGAGTAATTTATTTTCCAATGAATATTTTAAACTTATGTTCTGAGGTTAAATATTAGGCACTCAAAATTATTTTACTTTTTTTTACTGCCAAATTAAGAGTACGTTCGACTAAGCTTAAACTTGATGTTAGAAGTTATGAGCTGTTTAGCCAAATTCTTTTTACTTTTAGTTTAAAATTAAAGCAAGATCATTTTAAAATAAACAAATACAACGTCGATATCTCGAGTCAGCCACGAGTCGACATTCGGATAAAATCGATTATTAACGGACAAGAATTTATATTTATCTTATCATTCTCACTCTTAGAATACAGTGTATACTAGGAAACGTTTATTAATATGTTTAACTAGTTCTACCAAGTCAAAAAAGTTTAAGCATACATTTTTTAAACGACAATAGACTAAACCAGTTTTGAGATAATATATAAATTGTTCCACTAAAAAAAAATAAAGGCTGTCGTATTGCAACTACAAACATTCCGAAACTGGTTGTTTTACAACTTTTTCTGAAAATGAAAGGGGCAAGAAGTGAACACGTTCTAACTTTAAGCCTATCTACAAACCGAGGCATCCACGCTTCAATATGCTAATATGTTACTTGCAATATACACTAAATT